GTAAGTCGCTTTGGATAAAAGCATCTGCTAAATGACTAAAAGTAAAAAAGTAAAAGTAAAGAATAATCATTAATAACTTCTAACTAGGGCTGTCGATTTAACGCGTTAATCTAATTAATTAGTTATGGAAAAAAATAATGCATTCAAATTTTTAACACAATTAATGCACCCTCCCCGCCCCATGTACGTCAGAGCAAGTTGAAAGCATGCAGAGCCATCTGCTCTCTTCCGAGTAGCACGAGTGCAAATGTGATATTGATTTTATACAACAGTTCAATAAATAAGAAGTTAATATTGTGTTACAGTTTAGACAAAATTTTCTGTTTTTGATCAGTTTTGCCAACTCAAATTTTACCTATTAAAGCCACAGCAGAACTGTTGTGTGTCTCCAAGCAATACACAATTTCTGAATGAATCCACGTTTTGAATGAATCTGGTGAACCTATGATTCAATGGCCCATTAATAAAGAGAGCCATTTACTTAATTCCTGAATGAATCAGCCGTTTGAACGAATCAAATGAATGAATGAATGAATGAATGAATGACTTATTCATTAAGACATTTTCTGCCAACAACTGGCATTTTTATTTTCTTATTTAGAAAATAATTTCATTAAAAAATAATTTCATATTTACATATTAATAAAAGAATTTGAAAAAAAGAAAAAAAATACATATTAATTAAAAAAACTAATTAAAGGGATAATTTGCCCAAAAATGTAAAATAAAAAAAGAAAACAGAAAAGAAAAAGAAAAAGAAAAGAAAAAGAGAAGATAAAAAAAATATTTCAAAATCTTTTTGCAATGTCTATTGTCTAAATGTCTAATGTCTAAAGGTTCCTGTGGCTCAGTGGTAGAGCATTGCGTTAGCAGTGCAGAAGGTTGTGGGTTCAATTCCCAGGGAACACACATACTGGTAAAAAAATGTATAGCCTGAATGCACTGTAAGTCGCATAAATAAAATAAAATATTTGATGCTTTTCTCATGTAACACAATAATGGCTTTAAATTAACTTGTGTGGGTAATTTCTCAGCCAGATTTGATGTGTGATTAATATGCGATTACTTAGATTAAACATTTTAATCGATTGACAGCGCTATACTTCTAACCATTGCTTCTGACTAAAATACAAGCCCATAATCCATAACACTGCTTTCTCCAGTGAAAAAGTCATCTCGTCTGAATCAGGAGAGAAATATGCGCAGATCAAGCACTTTTTACAAGTGAAAATGGTGTAAAACATTTCTAAACAAAGATGTGAGTGGATTTTGATGTTAGAGAACAACAGGGCACAGACTTTTTCACTGAAGGAAGCGTTATTATGGATTATGGTCTCATATTTTAGCTGGAAGCGACGGTTTGAAGTTAAAAGTCTCGATGGATTTGTTTCTTACAAGCGCAGCTTTTTGCTTCACTGGAGTAGACAGAGCTCTTCAGGCAGGGTTTCTGCAGACTTGAACAAGTTAAATTTAAGACTTTTTAAGACCTTTTTAATACCACCTTATATGAAATTTAAGACCTAAACCTGTAATGGAAATACACATTTTATTACATACATATATGTAATATTTAATGTGTATAAATTAAAAAGAAAACAAAATATCATTGCTGTAATAAATTATATTTATTACTACGATATACAGTGAACTTTTCATGTCAGCAGACAATATTCCATACAAAATATCCCTGCAAAATAACTGCATCACTGAGATTTTTGGTGGAGTAAATTTATTCTGAAGCAATATTTTCATCAGTGTTCTATCAGCTTTTACATACTTAAATCTGCATATTTACCTTTACAAATGCCTATTTTTAACCCTTTTAGATGTATGCATCATCTTACATGTCAAATTATTACAATTTATCAATAAATTCAATATACACTATAGGGCTGCTACCAGTCAGATTAAATAATTTACACTGCAAATAACAATAATTACAACTGCAATAAATAATGTTATGAGATTAATGTTTTAAATGCATTTATGAGTATACAAATAAGAAATGTTGAGGGGAAAAATGCATACTTTTCAACAAACTTCTCAACTAAACTACCAGTAAGTGACGGTAAGTCACTTGATGAGTGAGTCATTCATTCAACTGATTGAGTGTTTTATCATGCTGGTATCTTAAGGACTTTCGTGGACAGCTGACTCCTAAAGTTTTTGATATTCTTCATATTCTGTGTGGTGGTCAGATAAGTTTAAA